TCGTACAAAATGTTGGGTATGAACTTTTGCCTAGCTATATAAAACAGTAGTTTAATGCAGACCCCATCATGCATCGAAAAAGAACCCAAGAATACCAATTAAGCTGCTTATATTACTGTATGTCTTAAACCGTAATTCTTAAAGCCTAAATCCTAATTTGTTTCAGTTTATATCTAATTCTCTTTTTAAATTGGTTAATGTTGGTACGTTTTGTGAAGTTCAGATCATGACTAATTTATATCACTGTTGTCTATATTTATTTCAAGAACTAATCCCATCAGTATTTATTTAGTTTGAAGTCAATGTTAGAAATATTCATGATCGATGAACAATCTGATTAATGATGATGATCAATACATCAGCAGCTGCCTCTCTGACCAACACTGGGATATGTAATACTATTCCTATTGGGCGGAGAGGTCAACAGTTCTCAGAGGAACATTCAGCATAGATAACTAACTAGAACAATATTCACACTTCTTTTCTTTCTCCCCTCCCGATAATTAAAGAATCAAAGTCCTTAAATTGATTCCTCACTTTTTAGAATTTTCTGCTGCCACCTCTGGTAAATTCACAATATTATCAGGTCATTATTTTCAAATACGTACGTGCCTTTTTATGCAACCCTACCAGTGCCATAAATTACTTTAGACCATATTCATTCGACTCCGAAACATATTTCTACAAAAATTGAAACAATCTGAAAAGAAAAAAAAAAACCTAAACCCTAATGCAGCTTGCACCGAAACCCTAGCTTGTCACTTCACATACCCCCAAGGCCTAGGTATCCAACGTTCGGAACATTGATTAATTAATTGATACATTTGATTATAAATTGAGAAACCCTGGCTACCTGACAAGTTACTGTGACGACAGGAGTAGTGGTAATTCTATAACATCAATGGTTTTGTAGTAACCCTAATGAATGACATGTATACACCACGATTTTTGTCATCTTCCATTCATAGCAAGTTAAACTGAAGAATCCACATTACTAACAGGAAAAATCCCAATTTTACCCAAGTCGACAATTATTTAATCTGTTTTTTTATTTATTTTTATATTATATATACGTATAATTTCTTGGGATTCTGTGTCCCATTGGTGCCTCCGTGAATTCTGTACAAGATCCACGCAGACATAAATCTAACGGTTGAATCAGAACCAAGAAAATTGAATAGGAATTAACCTCTCTCTCTCTCTCTCTCTCTCTCTCTCTCACACACACACATGCACAGTACTGCAAACCAAGCAAGCCAGAGCCAAAAGCCAAAGCCCATGCATGATAAAAATGAAAAACAGAGAGATGATGGCGATGGTTTAGTCCCTTTCACCTGAGCCTCTCTTATTTACTTCTTTTCGTATACTTAGCTACCGCTACATATTCCATACATACTTTCTCTTGATCTGGACAATCCCTCCCCCCCACCCCTCACTTTTCGTCTTTTTTCCTTTTGTTGGCTTCTTGTTCCTTTTCTTTTGTTTTTTTTTGGGCCAACCAAAGCTATATATCCGGCCACCATAGATGGCCATGGAAGATCACGACCGTTCATCTGATTTTCTCGAAGAACATGAGCAGTACTACTACAGCGATACCAATTGTAACTTGGGAACTCCGGGGGATGATCTTTTTAGCATATTACAGAGCTTAGATGATCATGGGTTTGGAGGAGGAGGAGGAGGAGGTGGCGGCGGAGTCGTAGACTTTCCTTCCCCGTTAGCTACAGCGCCATTCGATGATGACCAACTACTTTCTGTTTTTAGCTCATCACCAAAAGACCTCTCCTCCTCAGCTGATCAAACCGAGTTTGATGAAACTAACTGTCCACCCAAAACCAAGAGACTCAAGCTCTCATCAGCTGCCACCCCCACCGCCACTGCCACCACAACAACCACAAATTCTTCAGATCAGGATGGAGGGCGGATGTCTCATATAACGGTGGAGCGCAACCGCAGAAAGCAAATGAACGACCACTTGACTGTCTTGCGCTCTCTTATGCCTTGTTTCTATGTTAAACGAGTCAGTATCCTGCCTTTTATTTTATTTGGTTGATATTTTTGGAGTGACAAACTGCCAATAAACAATAACAGCTCCCATTTTCTTTTTCTTCTTTTTTTCCGGCATATGTTTCGTACCTTCACCATCAACCTCAAACTTAAAAGAAAAAAGTAGAAATACAGCACTATTGAGTATTAAGTTACTAACTAATCATGAAGTGATTCATCTTATTTAATAAAATTTTCCTTGCACCTTCAAGGTATTCTTTAAAAAAAAAAAGAACAAACAAATTATTCTCCTTTTTTCCATCCTTTTTTCAAATGTGTATGATATACATATGAATTGTTTAGTGCAATTGTATGCATGTATGTATGTGTGTGTGTGTATTGTACCTAATTTTTTGGCTCAATTGATTCCTCAGGGAGATCAAGCATCAATCATTGGGGGGGTGGTTGATTACATCAATGAGCTGCAGCAAGTTCTTCAATCACTCGAAGCCAAAAAGCAACGAAAAGCATACAGCTGTGAACTGTTAAGCAGCCCTAGGTTGCAGCAGGTTTCAAGTCCAAGGCCACCTGGTCCCTCACCACCAGTTCTCAGCCCTAGAAAGCCACCTCTCAGCCCTAGGCTCGGCGGCAGCAGCTTACCACCCATCAGCCCAAGAACTCCACAACCCACCAGCCCTTATAAGTCCACGGCAGCCTGGACAATATTGCAACAACCACAAATATTACCTGCAGCTGCTAATATTATTAGTAATTATCTGATTTCTAATCCAACAATGGCTGCTAGCTCATCACTTGAGCCATCCCCTACTTCTTCAAGTGCTACTTCCTCTATTAATAATAGTGTCGACAATCTCAACGAACTTTTCGCCAACTCCAAGTCCGCCATTGCGGACGTGGAGGTGAAATTTTCGGGTCCAAATGTTCTTTTGAAAACAGTGTCTCCTCGGATACCCGGACAGGCTCTCAAAATCATTTCCGCTCTTGAAGACCTTTCGCTTGAAATTCTTCATGTCAATCTCACCACCGTTGACGAAACCATGCTTAATTCCTTCACCATCAAGGTATTTTATTTTCATTTTACTTAAATACATGATTGATTAACTTTTTTACTTTCGTTAATAAGTTACTAGTTTTAGATTTTGTTTAAAAATATTTGCTTAGCATACTAACCCTGTCAGACTTTTGTGTTAAAGAGATATGCTACATTGGTTGCGCGGGTGATGTCAATCATTGATGCATTGTGATATCTACTTCTATTAGTAGTTGACTATCACCCACAACATGATACTAACGGCTAACAGACACCAACAACATCGTAGTGTGTGTTAACTACATGGAAATACAATATAAAAGCTAAAGCAATCGACATATCTAAACCTTGAAATAGTAAAATGTTAAATGCATAGAGGGTCTTATCACTTTTACCAGATCATATGATAGGTAAATATATGTTTGCTTGCTAGCTAGCTGCCATGGACATCATCTCACATTGTACTATACTTGCAGTAATTTCATTTCATGTTTTACAGAAAAATCAGCTTTATATGTGTACCGTTGGACCGTACGTGTATGATTTTAAAAAGTGTTGAAAACTAGGGCATCTTTCACTTTCAGACATTGATTTTCTAGCTACCAAGTACAAATGCATATATTAAAAAAGGGATTGTTTGAATAATGGGGTGACTAAATTGTGATTTTATTGAAGCTAGCTGCTAATGATTGGTACGTGCTTTCTTGCTTTCTTGCTAGATTGGAATTGAATGCCAACTTAGTGCGGAGGAACTCGCCCACCAAATCCAGCAAACATTCTGCTAATTGAGTCTCCTAGCTTGAAAATTTTATAGTGCTTTAATCGTTAGATCTTTAATTATTATATTTTTAATCAACGATCTAACAATTAAAAGTTCCAAAATATAGAATATCCCGGAGTGCACTAAAATATCCTCCGGTAGATATCATATTTCATCAGTCGATCAAAATTGCCCTAACTCCAGCCTCTATCTCTCTATTTGTCTCTCATCTCCGAAATGGTGCTAATGAATAGAATGTGGAAAGCCATGCATTTTGCCATATTCTTATTAACCAATGTAATTGTAGATCAGTAATAACTTTGTTTTACTTTTAGCTAGCCTAGCTAGGGTGACCCTTTGTAATTTTCAATTAAGCAATCTCAAGGTCTTATTTCATGTATACATACATGCATGAATTTTAATTTCACATTTCTTTTTTATTAATGAACGAAAAAGCTACATGTGGATGTGAATATATTGTCCATGCATGGATCCTACTCTTTGGATCTGATAATTAATTTCCAAACAAGAAAGAAGGAAGTTATATAACTTCTTCTTGCTTCTACTTATGGAAAGTATTTAATTACTAATGTTATATAATGAGACTTGACATTCTCCTAAATAGCTAAGTCTTAAACACTATCATCTGGTATAACTAATTCACTTGTATTATAACACATGAATTAGTTTTAATGTTCCATAAAGTATAAACTCACTGTCACACATATTATTGTAATACGCGAACTAATTTACATCGTGTTTACCCCTTTCTTTCAACTTCATTTTTTCGAAATTAAATGATGGGTACTAGACTTCTAGTACTATAACCATTTGTTGAGAGTAGGTCAAAATCAAATGCAACGAAGACGAAGATAGGTAGCTCATGATTACCAAACTCAATTGGACCAAACCCTAAAAGAATAGACATTTATACAAGAACATTGTAACACACATCAATAAAGGGGGGCAAATTTGCTACAAGTTCCACTGGGGCTGGGAAGTGTATATTTGTATGCATACATTATTCGTCCTTCTATATGCAAGTTCGAATCTCCCTGTAGTTTGGTTTAGACTAAAATATCCTTCAAATAAAAGGAAAAGGAAAAGGAAAAGAGATACTGGGCCTAACCTAGCTACTCTACAATGGGCCTCTACATGAGTCGATTTAGATATCACTCCTGGTTCAGCCCTTAACCAAAAAAATAGAGAAAAAATTTTATTCAGTTTGTTTATCTGAATAAAATTGGAAAAGTTGCATATCAGTTTCTTTTTCCCCTAACGGAACATATATCAAACAGCTTAACAGATGTTACACTACACAACCTTCTACTGTTTCTCACCGATGCTACAAAGAAAATATACCTAAAATTCAAAATGCTTATTTAAAATTTTATATGCTAATTAATTTCCCTCACTTTCTGTGTTGTGGGAGCCTATGAAATTAGGAAAAGAACCCTGGACCGTCAAATGAGAAGTTGGGGAACAACTGATCATCCTGACCAAATGGGAAATCCAAACCAACACTTGGAGAGTTGGCAGCTGAAGTTGCAGGCGAGATTATATCTCCACTCTGAATATTTTGTTCAGCTCCAAAACCCTGCTGAGACATTGAGAAATAGTTTGTTCCTGAAGTTGTAGGTCCCGCAAAGGGAGGAGAAAAACTTCCCAGATAATTGTTGTTCAGTGGTGAGGGATTGTTGAAGGAGGGGAACAGTTCCTCGCTAATGTCTAACCCTTCACTAATGACTCTGAGGCCTTCCGGGAGGTTTAAGAGCATGTTTTGTTGCGAATGCTGCTGATTTTGTTGAGATTCCACTGGGTTATTCTGCGGTTCTGTCCCTTCGGGCCGCAACGGTGATGGTGAAGGAGGAGTACTTGTGCCGGGAGAGGCTTGTGTACATGTGTGCCTTCCTCTGTATGTAATTTCAAAGATCGTTGGGTCTTCGTTCGAACGTTGGACTTGCTTTGTGGCAAAACAGTCCTGGATGTTTCGGTGAGTGCACCGGTAGTAGCCTCTGCCAAGGTGAACAAATCTAATGTTATGCACTTGCATGAAGTTTTTTGGTCGACGGTTCAGTTGACCAATCATAAAGGGTAACAAAGTGTTCAATTGATCAAGTCATGCTATCTTATATTTACTATATAGAGCTTCTTGTAATTTAACTTGTGTGGACAATTTTAGTCGTTTTTGTCTTACATGATTGTATAAGAAAGAAGAATACTCGTGTGAAATTGTTGAATATCATTTTTCTATCTATCTGTCTCATCACATGACAGTCTGATGAGAAAGATATGGTGAAAACGACGTAGAGATCTGGAATATACAATAGAGATAACTAAGTTTTCCTTGCCAGAAAGAGACTTATTAATGTCATAGCAATTGAAGTATATAATTGTAGTTAATTTGAAGAACTAAAGATAAGTTTCATATATGTATGAAGAAAATGTAAAGTCCTATACCTTGGATATCTGGCTCCAAGTATGTCCTTCTGGCCATACTTTCTCCAACTAAATCCATCATCAAGAGGCCCCTCAAGCCCCATACCAGATGTAACTCTTATTTGTTGTGTCCACCTTGGCAGAGTTTTCCTGCAACATTCACGAAAATTCAAAATTACCACCAATGAACATCACCTTAAGTACGAAAACATAATCACGAAAATCTCTTTCTATATTAACCTCTTCCCAGAGGAATCTTTGTTGTCGTGGTCCTTGAATTCGCGGTCGGAGTCCTCACTCCAGGGGCTTCCATTTAGTGAATGGGGCGGAGACTCAACCATTCGAGTTGCAACATGACCTGCGGGCTGTTGTTGCTCACATCCTGAGGGTGAGCCGATAGAATTCAGAATGGAGAGCGCCTTTTCGTACGATAGTATGATCTTTTGAACAAGCAGTTCCCGGGTTCCATGAGAGGAAGATGGAGCGTTGAGATGGATCTGTAGCTGCCTAGCCAGCTCCCTCCCTTGTGCTAGCTCATTTACAAGACTCCTTTGTTCCCAATGTATATTGCAGTTCTCCATTTGTTAACAGTAGCACATGAGAGATACAGGAACAAAATTATCTGTCAAGATTTCGGGGTCGGGCCAACGGGAAATATAATAAAAACAAGAACTGGGTTTCCAATCAGAGACGGGAACAACCAAAACAACAAGGGGGAGACAGATTTGTGAGAAGCGTAACTGCGTGACTAAGCTGAGTTTTCGTGTTTTGGATTCGTGTGTGTAATGACCGATTAGTGAGATGGGAAGAATCTGAAGGTGGAAACTTGATGAGGAAGGAGAGGGAGAGATGGTTATGGGGATTTAAGGGAAGGTTGTTTTTGAATCAAAAGAAAGTGAGGGAAAGAAATCGAGAGTTTTGACTGAGAAGATCCGAGTGGAAATGGTCTTTGGTCATAGGAATTGGGAGGTTCAAAGTTAAGAGCAAGAGGAGGAAGACGAGTTGCTGACCGTTTCAACCTTCATGTGCTTTTCCCTTCCCATGAGCGCTAAACACCAAAATTATATATCTCAACATCTCGCTTTGTGATTTGATGATTTTGCATAGGAGGGAAATGAAAGAAAGTCAACGACTAAGAAAAAGCGGTAGGAGGGAGACCAAAGAATCTTCAAACCTAGTTCCGCGTTGTTACTACTACTACAACTATTCTACTAAGTTAATTACAAAATTCCCTTTGAATTTTAGTGGTTGTTCCACTTTGGTCCTCAAACAAATTTTCCGTCTCCAGTTTGTCTCTAAAGTTTTATAAATGTGTTGAATGTTTGTTAAAAAAAAAAAATATGTGTTGAATGACAATAAGTATGTCGGTTAAGTTTAATGGTGGAGGAGAGTCAATTCGGTTGGTTTTATTGGCTCTATCGCACCACGTTATCGATCATATTAGCAACAAAGCTTTTCCCACCACCACTAAACTCATTGGTAAAATCTTTTATGAATGATATGTATGAAATTTTGTACGAGCAAACTTCGTGACAAGATAAAGCTTTCTTGAGTCGTTGTCCAAGCATGAACTGCACAGCCCCTTGCTCTAGTTGAGTTATTTTGCCCTTTCCTCACGCTCTGTTAATCAGGAGAGGTATGGCTATAGTTAGGTGTCCTTTGATTATTCATTTTTAGTAGAATGAATTGTTTTCTCACCCAAAAACTACTAAAAAAACACGTGTTAAAAAGAATATTTAATTATATCACGTTGCTTATTGTCGATTTTCTTGTAGTGAAACTTTTTTATGGTTTAGTCAGTTTAAATAGTCCCCATTTTTTTAAAATAATTTTTCAAAATTTATTATAATTGAGGGAAGGGTTCAAAACTATAACAATAATTTAGATTAGATTTGTTTGCTTTGCCCATTTTTTAGCATATGTGCCTACTCTCAAACATAAGTGAACGCGTGCCAAGAGATAAAGAGCATTCTAGTCGTCACGTGCTACTCTATTAACGTTTGTAAAGATACACTTTCTATCCTTAACAATCACACTTTTCAAAAGTTTACGAGCCAATTTGAGACAAAATAAAAGGACCAAAGCCGAAAAATCAAGAGTTTAAGGGGCAAATAAGAAAAAAAAAAGAGTGAAATATACATGACATCAGCTTCAAAACTTCGCTTACGTTAACTATGCAAATTGTTTAAGATCTCCAATATTCGAAGAGACAAGGGGCATCGACCCAAAACCCAACACAAAACTTGATAATCTAATAATTTAAGTAAAACTAATTGAATGAGTTTGAAAATTTTGAGTTTTAACGATAAAGGTAAAATAAAAGGTAAAGTGAATAGTATCATGATTGATTTTTTAGTGTAAAAATATGATTTTTTGTTAAAATAAATAGTACCGAAAGTTTTTCGTTCAATTTCTCAATAATTTAATAGTTGATAATTTGATTAATTATGTGTTAAAAACAGTCAAATTGTCAAGAACCAGCTACTAGCTAGCGTATTTTCCGTGCCTTATTATTAGTGAAGAACGGTCGGTCGCGTAACATACTTAAGCTTAGTATAATAATCTTTCTTTCCTTTAATTGTGTTGGTATTCATAAGATTTACGGAAAGTTAGAAACTAGGCAATTTTCCCAACTAAGAAAAAGCAAATAATGTAGTCTCCCGTCCTCACACGTTGAGCAAGCGAGCGTGTTGACAGTTGAAACATGGATGCATGCATGGTTAATTTGAACATGTTTTGTAACAAACAAGAGCACTAATTTTGTTTAGTATTTGATAAATAGGAAACTTTTAATCACTAGGGTTGAGAATGAATTTCAGGTTTGTAATTCTTAGCGTTGGTGAATCACACGATAGTGATCAAAAAGAGGCTGAAATGTTATTGTAAGCATTTTCAATCTCCAAAATAGTAGATTAGCTTGACGAAGTAATGAACTAATCCCTTTAAAAAAAATAAAAAGGGAACGTTTAAGATAATCAAGATTACACATGGGATATAATCATTAATTAAGTTCAAGTAGAATCTGTTTTTATGGAATATTTTATGTGGGATCTGATCGATCGGTTCTAGGTCAGATACATGCACAAAACTTCTTTTATTGTTATGTTTAAGCTAGTGTGACATTATTTTAAGGTTTGGAAATTGGAACCTTCAAGTTCAGCCAACACGTTTTGTAAGGTGAGGTACCAACCCAAAAGCTTTGGAAAAAAATTAAAAAAAAAAGGTACCAACCCAAAAGATTAAAAAACAAAGAACAACTTTTAAACTTTTGTTTTGTTTCCTTGTATTATGGATATTGAAAGTTGGAAACATAGTATCCCCCCTAGATTAGAACAAGACTTCGTTGTTTAAATTTTAGCAGGAGGTCTTGTTTACACTCAATTTTGGATGAACACGTGTTCATCCGGAATTATGTGTAAGCAGAAATTCTTGCTGAAATGTTCAGCAGGGAAGTTAATTCCCCTAGATTATTACCAACAAATCGTTTCATCATATCCATGGTTATTAGTCAAAATAGTAGTATACATATATTATATACAAAGCATCTCATCATATCAATAGTTGATTTGAAAAACAATAGTAATATTTAAGAATAAGGTTGTATCATGATAGGTTCTTGAAATTGCATCTTCCAATTAAAATGGTCATTGAAATAGAAAATTGATCAATTCTTGAAAATGGGTCTTGCATAATAACTTAGTCATTCCACTAATTATCCGTTAACTTTATGTTAGTATGTTGTAAGGTTTTAAAAGACGTTAGACGCTAGTTGGGCGGCGGGCTGAGACATAGCACCTAGGCGGCTAGACGGGGTCTAGGCGGATTTAATTAAATTTATTATATTTCGTGTAAATAAATGTCTATTTATACTTAAAATATATATAATTTCATCATAAACTAAAAAATAGAATGATATATATATTATGAGTTATTGGAATATAATGAAAACATGAGAAATAAGCATATAATGTGTGTTCATTTAAGTATTCAACAAGTCTCTTACAATTTATTGAAAAAAATAAAATGCAAAATGAAAGTTATCTATTTTCTGTCTAACTGTGTCGCAACCTAGGTGGGTCTTGGCGGGCTAGACGAATGCTTAAGTGGTCTAGGCGGGCACCTCAATAGGTCTAGGCACCATTTCTTAATTTTCAAACACCTAGATATTAATCGGGTCGGTGATTAGCCGCCTAGCTCCTAGGCGGAAATTTTTAGAATAGTGGTATATTGATATGGCACACGAATAGATTCCATTTATTTAATTGTATGGTGCCACATGGAATAATTATTCATAGTTTTAAAGATTTAGAAATTAAAACTGACAAAACTAAAAATTAATAAGTAAAAAAAATTAAAAACATAAAGCATCATGCTCCTTGTCTTTAATGAGCAGCGTCTCCTTGAAGAGGTACATCCGTTCGGAAATGGATCATCTCCAGATCTCTTCCTCTTAATTCATCAAATTAGGATATATGTGCCGTTGAAATTTGATTCAACGGTTACAAACGAATGTTCCCTTTAAAAATTATAATAACTTCAACCGTTGGATCAAATTTTAACTGCACGAATTCCTTAATTTGGTGGATTAGGATTAAAAGATCAGGAGATGATCCATTTCCCGTCCATTCGCATCGGCTCCACTGAGGCACAGAGGCAATCATGAGATTGATTGTAGCTCAACCTAGTTTTTGGGAGTAGAATTCTCTTCATTCTTCTTTTCTTTTCTCTTCTCATACTTTTCACTTTGTCCTTTTTTTCTCTACAAAATTCATATAAGATGTTAACGTGACTTAATTTTAATAGTTCAAATAGAAAATGAGGGAAGAAAAGAGGAAAATGAGAGGAGAGAATCCTACTTTATTTTTTGGGAACTTTAACGAAAAACTCCCGGTACTGTTCATTTTAACGAAAAACCATATTTTTACATGATAAATTCAATAATTAACTATTCACTTTATCCTTTATTTTAAAACTCAAAGTTTTTGAACCATTTTTATTAATTTTCTTTTATTTTTTTTTTGGACGAAAAAAATAAAGTTAGAAACTGCGCAGTGTCTTCTACGCTCAGTCGAAATCTGTGGACTAGGCAACCAATTCAAACTCTTAATTTTGAGGAAGAATTGCCCTGTGTTTTTTATCAAATATTCTTACATCACCATCAAACTCCATATTCCCTTTTCGAAGAGAAAAAGTCAAAATAAGGTTTTTTAGGTTGAAATTGAAACTTTGAAAAAATAAGGTTGAAATTGAAACATTTTTCAGATTTTTTCCACTTGAAGATTGGTTAAAGGATGGAAATCTGTTATTGGATTTGCAGCAATTTTGAAGCTCTCGAGCTTTCTTCCATAGAGAGAAAGAACGGTGAATAGTTTGCAAAAAGAATTAGTAAGTTTTAACAAAATTAGTTTTTAAGGCTAATTCACATGCACCTTGTGATTGGATAGGCTACTTATTCATGCGTCATATCAGTACAATAATAGAAAATTTGATAGAAAGCTAACGAAGGACAAAATGGAATTGTGAGAACCATTTTCAAGACAAAATGGAATTGTGAGAACCATTTTCAAAGACCAAATTGATGAATTTTCTATAACATTGCTACAACATAGTAAGGTTGTTTGAGATCATTGATATAGCTATAGTATTATTTGACAGCTTTTTCCACCTCTATTTTCTCCTTTTCCAAGTAATTGAGACGCGTATACTACACATTTGCGCCAAATTTAGAGAATAAAACGTTTATGCTTCTTAAGAGAGTAAAACAATAACTTATGGTTGCTAAACTGCAAGAAATTAAACTATATAATATCAAATATCGTATGATAGTTTTTTTTTTTTTGAACAAAAATACCGCATGATAGTTAAAATCAGTAATAATATTTAAGAACATTCATGTTGGTATAAAACTTGTACCTAACGACTTCTTTTGTTTTGTTTTTTTTTTTCCTTTGAAAATGGACTAACCGATGGCTTCGTCACGGCAGTTCACTCTTTCATGA